TACTATACGCTCGTCTACGAATTACCTGGTTGTGAAGCCAGCTGCAAAGCTCAGGACTGTCAAATTCATATGGCTTTGAGCAATCTAGCCCCAATCTAGCACCTATGTTGTAACTGCAGTAAAATAAATATGCACACTACGCTTACTTTAATTGAATATCTCTCAATATAGAATCATAAAATTACTGACAGATGCTAAATGTTGACATTGCTTATTAATCTCGAATATTGTTAAATCTTTCCGGCAAAGTATGTTTCATTTCTCATAAATCAGTCATGTTTTATGAATTGATTATTCAAATTTAGCTAATAACTTTTCAACTGCCAACAAAACCAAGGATGTTCCAGATGGTGATATTCTGTAATTTCCTTTTTATAAGTTCATACATTTTGATGTTCAAACAAACTCACATATTTCAAAACAAGCATTATCAGAACAGCATTTTTATTAATTAATCACATTCCTATATAATTACAATAGAGTTTGAACATTTTGTAAAATATTTTCAGCACAGTAATGGGCCATTGAGCTCAACAAGTCTATGAACACAGGAGTAAGTCATTTAGTCCCTTGAGCCTTCCCTTCCATTTAGTAAGATTGTGGTTCATGTATGACCTAGTTCCTGCCTTCTATATATTCTAGTACCTTTGATTAACAAATACATAGCAAATAGACATTTGGTAGTACAACATTTGAGTATTGCTGAAAAAAGACACATTTAATTGAAGCTTTTCATCTTGCATTTATTATTATAATTTACAAAAATACCAATTTAAAATGAAAACTGACTGTTACAACTATATGAGAGGAGAGTATAGATTTACTGGTCGGTGCACTCTGTTCGAAATATGTCACTGAGAATGCTTCAGTTAATGATGAATACAAAATGTTTTGATAAAATGGCCTTTATTTCAGCCATACTTGATAAACTGTCAACCTCAGACTTATAATTACCATATATATTTGTATCATTGTAACCAAACATTTTGACAAAATGTAGGAGTTGACTTTTACATGAGCAATATGAGCTGAGGAAGAAATCCATGACAGATCTTTGAAATTGCTGAACTACCAATAATAAAGCTGGAGGCCAGGCAGCATCAGGGGAGCAGGAAAGTTGATGTTTCGGGTCAGGACCCTTCTTCAGAAATGGGGGAGGGGGAAAGGAGCTCCGAAATAAATAGAGAGGGGAGGGGTGGGGCTGAGGAAGATAGGTGTGATGGTGATAGGTGAGTGCAGGTAGGCAGTGGTGGGGATTGGTCAGTGAGGTGGGTCGAGCGGATAGTTGAGAGAGAAGATGGACACGTTGTGTCAGGCCAAGGAGTCGGGGATAAGAGGGAGGGTTGGTCATGGAATGAGGCCGGGGGTAGGGAGATTTTGAAACTGGTAAAGGCCACATTGAGACCATTGGGTTGTAGGCTCCCAAGGTGGAATATGAGGTGCTGTTCCTCCAGTTTCCGGGTGGTGTCATTGTGACACTGGAGGAGGCCCAGGATGGACATGTCGCCCAGGGAGTGGGAGGGGAAGTTGAAATGGTGTGCAACTGGAAGGTGTTGTCATTTGTCGCGAACAGAGTGCAGGTACTCAACAAAGCGGTCTCCGAGCTTGGTCACACCAATGTAGAGGAGGCCACATCGGGAGCAGCAGGTGCAGTAAATCACATTGGCAGATGTGCAGATAACCTCTGTGTGATGTGAAAGGTTTTTCTGGTTCCGTGGATGGAAGTGAGGGGGGAGGTGTAGGGGCAGGTGTAGCACTTCCTGTGGTTGCAGGGAAAGGTGCCAGGGGTGGTGGGGCTAGTGGAGAGTGTGGAGCAGACGAGGGAGTCGCAGAGAGAGCGGTCCCTACGGAAAGCAGATAGGGGTGGGAAGGTAAATATATCTTTGGTTGTGGGGTCAGATTGCAGGTGGCGGCAGTGGCGGAGAATGATACATTGAATACGGAGGTTAGTGGGGTGATATGTGAGGACAAGGGGGATTCTGTCTTTGTTTATATTGCAGGGAGACGATGAGAGGGCAGAGGTGTGGGAAACACAAGAGATCAACATCCCACCTACCTTCCTCAGCCTCACCCCTCCTCTCTCTATTTATTTCAGAGCTCCCTTCCCCCTCCCCCATTTCTGAAGAAATGTCCTGACCCGAAGCGTCAACTTTCCTGCTCCCCTGATGCTGCCTGGCCTGCTGTGCTTCTCCAGCTCCACGCTGTGTTATCTCCAACTTCAGCATCAGCATTTCTTACTATCTCTCAATAATGAGACTGAACTGGTTGCTGGCCATAGTTCTGAATTGAGAATGGATCAGCTGTCCCTGGCGATCTAATGGTATTTCTGATAAATAGGGCAATTGTGAAAAAGACTCAAACGCTTTCCACCGACCAAACAAACAGAACAATCAAAAGTTTATGAAAGTCAAGGACCTTTATGCCAAAGGATGGGGTCATATATGAAATGCTAAGGATTTAGGGGCCAAATGTCCAGGTTGACTCTTATGTGCAATTGATTCTTAAGTAGATATAGTTACAACTTTACCCAGCATTAATTCCTGTTTATGAAAAAAAGTGTTTCAAACTTCTATCACCTTTGTATGTTAAAGTGTTTATTAACAACATACATGAAAGGTTAGGCTATTTCTCCTTGTATCAAGTAGTGCAAATAGTTTCTCTCTATCTACCCTGATGAAAAACCAACAAAAATTTTACCTATGCTAAAATTATATGATTTCCAAGGCTTGTAGCATTTCTGAACAATTCAAACTCGGCCTAGTTTCTTTTATGGTGTTTGAGTTACACCCATCCCAACAATTATACCCAATCTTGAAAAAAACTTTGAACAGATCTCTCAATAATATTGTAAATTTTGGCAAATACAACTCTAGTTTGTGTTAAGCAGGGTGTTTATGTCACACATAAGACATTCATACATTTAATAAAAAAGGCTTTTTATGTATTAAGAGGAGGAAGAGACTAGGCCATTCAAGACTGAAAAGGGGAAGAATTTCCTCACTCAGACAATGCTGTATCTTTGGAATTCTCTGCTCAGAGGTTTGTCGAAGCTTAATCATTGAGCATATTCAAGTCAGAAATCAATATGCCCTTGGATATAATGATATCAAGGAATATGAGGATGCGGAAACTGGCATTCAGAGCCATGATCTAATTGCATAGAGAAGCATGCTTCACAGGCTGATTAACCTATTCCTGCTCATTGCAAAGTTGGGTAGAGTACTTGTGGATTGGGATGTAGGAAGTTAGAATTTGGTGTTTGTAAAACGCTAGGGGGGAATGCATTGCATGGTCCTTTTTAAAGATGATGTGCTTTTTCTGTGCTTAGAGATTTTAAAAAAATGGTCTGTGAGCAGCATCTTGAAAGTTTGCAAGTACACAGAGAGCACCCAAATTGAAATACTTGTATCAAAAGGCTGTTCATTTATCAGGCCAAGCAGCAGTTTTTACCAAGACAACAAGTTTTGAATTTAGCCAATTAATTTGAACCAGGCACTTAGATACCAAAAATCAATTAAATTTAAAACTGACGGCTTTGATAACATAGAACCAATCCTATTGCAAGAAATTGATAGGTCATCAAGGGTTAAAAGAAGGGGCAGTTGGGCAAAGACAGAAGAACCATCTATGAGAACTAACAACCTTCAGCTCTCAGGACTGAATCGCTAGCTCTCATAGTCTCCTCTAGGTCTTAGAGAAAACACCATGTAAAGAACAAAGGTACCACAGCACAACTACCGAATTTTCTTGACAGAAGAATTGACAGAGAAGGCCTTCCTGACAGAGTAATTGATGGAGAAGGCACCGAGCATTCTGGAAGACACGTAACCTGGCTGTAATTTCGAAAGACTAAATTCTATTTTATTTCATATATAATTGGGATTTGTATTTATTGCCATACCATTAGAATCTGCTTTATTTGGGCAAAGTTAGTAGTTAGAAAGGGTATATTTGGTTTGTTAATAATTTAGTTAATTTGTTCATTGTTAGAGTTAGATAAATAAATTGTTACTAGTTGATTGTAATGTGAGTGTCAGGGATTTATTGTATTTAACCATTAGAAGTTGCTGAAAAGCAGGTTACACCACTTTTCACACTCCTTTTACAGGTTATAGGGTGAGGCGCTCCTCTTTGGGTATTTTGGTTTCAGTTCTCAGAGAGGGGTTAAGCTCTTCTTTATAACACTGCACCTGTCTTCTTGGGTTTTCATCAATAGAATGCTGAAAGTTATCAGACATTTTTGTCAGATTGGAGAAAATAGGAGAAGGGACAAAGGGGAAAGAGTAAAAAGAAGGGAGATGATATTAAATTACATAACAAAAATTGAGATGATTTAAAAATAAATCACCTCTAATTAGCTAAATGGCAACCAAGCTACTGCCCTTCATAGTACATTTTAACTGCAAATGAAACAAAGTATAATGCTGTCTTGATTTCCAGACCAGCATTTCTCCCTTAAGTAGCCAATAGCCATGTCGGATATTACATTCCTCCACTACTCTTTCAATCTGCACATTCAGATCATTGCACCGTGCTGCCTAAAATAATTTCACTTTATCTGCAGTCAGGCTTTTTGGCAATTAACTTAAATTACTGATGTCTGGTTACTGATCCTGCTACTAATAAAAAGATTTTCCTTATTTATTCTATCAGAACTGCTCATGATTTTAAACGCCTCAATTAAATCTCCTCCTAACATTCTTTTCACCTTGAAATTACCTTGGGTAAGTCTATTTTTATAATTGTGCTCCTAAAATTGCTTTACAAAAAATGCAAATATGTTATTTACGCATATACAAGTTGAGATGGGAATAATGATAAGTGAATATTATTCATAATGAAAAAAGTAGTCCATGAGGATGCCAGAACAAGAAAGATATGATATGTAAAGTATAACACTTCTAAAATATATTGATTGTCAATATTACAGTTAACTAGTCATTTGATTTAATTAGAATTCCTTACTGGGACATTATTATTGATTTTTTGTTTTATTCCAGGACATACAGGCCGCTTACTGAAAACCTTGTGTTTTACAAGCCTCACATTTCTCCTACTGCATGCCTTGTTTCAAATTACAATTTACAGCCTCCAAGCTAATGAAAAAATCAAACCAGGCTTCAATTGTAAGTATATCCCTTTCTGTTCTTTTTCATATGTTATGACAACACTTTTTTACAGTTGATAAAGGGTTTATTTCATAGCTATGGTTCTTGACTTGATTTCGCCACACGGCTAAGGAAAAAGCTATTATTGCACATTGTACTTCATTGCACTTATTTGAAAAGTGCATTCATTTGTATAGCTCTGCTAAAGCATAAAGAACTAACATTGGTAGCGATTCATGTTGAATAGCTGAGAAATATTTAATTGTGTCATAGATGTATTTAAAGGGCAGCTCAAAAGGGAGAAAGAAATGTAAGATTTTGTTTAAAGGCAAGATACTGCGACTGCTGGAAATTGGAAAAACAAAACACCAAACGCTGGATAAACTTGGCAGGTCTGGCAGCGTTTCTGGAGAAAGAAACAGAATTAATGTTTCAAGTCTTAGAAATCCTGCACCAACTGAAGCTGCTAGCTTATCCAAAACCAACAGTTTCTGGAACGTGGAGATCTTTATTGGAGGCCAAACTTTTGAAGCCACAAGGGGCTGAAACAGTAAGTGAGTGCATTTCGTTTAGGATTTTGGTGGGGAGGATGGGAGCTTGCAGGGTGTGGGGTTGTCAGACAGATTGGAAGCAAAGGTGGAAGCATGGCTTTCAGCAAACAGTTATCGATGCAAGGTGATTATTTTCTAAAATTATGCAGGTTCTGGAAATGGTTCCTACAGATTGAACGTAGCAAATGTCACCTCCCTATTTAAGAAGGGAGTGAGAGAGAAAACAGGAACTGCAGACTTATTAGCCTTACATAAGTAGCAGGGAAAATGCTAGAATCTATTATAAAGGATGAGATAAACAGACATTTGGATGATCTGATTGGGCGTAGTCAGCATGCATTTGTGAATGAGAAATTATATTTGATAAACCTGTTAGGGTTTTTTGAAGATGTTACTATCAAAATTCATAAAGAAAAGTTAATGGACGTGGTATACTTAGATTCTCAGGCTTTTGATAAAGTCCTCTACATGAGGCTCATTAGAAAAAAAACATGTTGCATAGGAGGTAATGTCCCGGCTTCAATTAATTATTGACTAGTGGACAGAAAACAGAATGTAGGAATAAATAGATCATTCTCGCATTGGCAGTCTGTGGCGGATGGGGTACCATATGGATCAGTATTTGGGTCCAAGTTGTTCACAATATATATTAATGATTTGGAGTGGGGAACCAAATGTTACTTTTTTCCAAATTTGCATATGATACAAAACTAAGGGGAATGTGTGTTGGGAGGAAGATACAAAATGACTTCAGGAGGATTTGGACACATTTAGTGAATGAGCAAGAACATGGCAGCTGGAATATAATGTGTAAAATTTGAAGTTTATCCACTTTGACAGAAGAAACAGATGTGTAGAGTATTAAATGGTAAGAGGTTGGAAAAAGTAGAAGGAACCTGGGTGACTTTGTTGATAAGTCGCTGAAGACTAACATGCAGGTGCAGTAAGATTTTAGCAAGGTTAATAGAATGTTAGCTTTTATTACAAGACAATTGTAATTGCTAAAAAATTGTATAGGTGGTTGATTAGGCCACACCTGGAGTACCATGTGCAGTTTGGAGTTCTTTTCTCAGCAAAGATATTATTGCTATAGAGGGAGTGCAACGAAAGCTCGCCAGACTTGATCCTCGGATGGTGGGACTTTCTTCTCAAGAGAGAGCAGGTATGTTTTTTGTACTGTGTATCCTCTAAAGTTTTGATGCATGAGAGATGCTGTCACTTAAACATACAAAATACGAAAGGGACAAACAGGATAGATGCAGATACGATGCTTCCCCCTGGCTGGGGAGTTGAGAACCAGGGAACACAGCTTGAAAATAAGGGACCTGAGGAGTAACTTTATGATGCAGAGGGTGGTTCATATATAGAATGAACTGACATAGGGAGTGGTAGATGCAGGTATAGTTACAACATTTAAAAGACAGGTGTACAGGAACATGAATATGAAAGGTTTAGAAGGAATTGGGCCAAATGCAGGCAAATGGGACTAGTTTAGTTTGGGAAACTTGGATGAATTGGACCTAAGGGTCTGTTTCTGTGTGGTATGACTCCAGATCCGAGAGCAGGAGAACTTCTTTTACTCAGTGGGTTGTGAACTTTTGGAATTCTGTACCACAAAGGACTGTGTAATGTTTGAGAGAGAGATTGATAAATTTATGAATACCAGTAGTGTACAGGGTTATGGGGATGAGGTGGGTAAAAGGTATTGCATGTTTGCTAGGACATACGGGCATGATTGTATTAAAAGGTTGGGCAATCACGACAGATGTTCCCAACCCAAAACTTCGTTCTAAGTGTCCCCAGATTGGGGCAAATGGAAGCCCTCCTCTAAGCTAACAGGCAGCCAGTGCTGGTTTCTCTGCTGGGAAACTGACCACTTTTCTTGCCTGCCAGGGAAGCAGGTAATAATGCTAATGGTGACCTTTTAAGATTGACTGTTTAAGGGCCTTACTTGGTGGTAGACTTTCTTGCCCAGAATTTAATTGTTAAAGTGTCAAGAAAGGGGCAAATATCACTCTGGGGCCACATCACCAAATCATTTTTTTCTTCTTGTCACCTTCCTCTCCACTTACAGGAAGGGTAAAATTATGCACATAGGCTGGTTGAAACAAATCATTTGGGATTAATGCTAAACATCTGTACAAATTCTATGTTTGTAAAGATTTAATTCTAGAACATTATGTGTAGAGAATAACAGATGACTAACCAATGCACATCATATTTGATTCACTATGAATGACCTTCCATGAGCTGTCAAGGTGGTGTGACTGGGAGGGGAATTTGGAAGTGGTGGTGTTCCCTTTTGCTCAATGCTGTTATTCTTGTAGGCGATAGAGATTGTGGGGTTGGAAGTTACTGTTGAAGAGACTTTGGCAAATTACTTGAGGGCATCATATAAATTGTACATAATGTAGCCACATTGTGGTTGGAGGAATTGAATATCTAAGTGCATGGATGCAGTGTCATTCGTACATCTCCTTTGTCTTGGATGGTGATGGGCTATTTGAGTATGTTAGCTGTCAGTCCTGTAAGCAATATGAATCTCCCATCACATTCGTGATCTGTACCTTATTGATGGTGGAGAGGGTTTGGGTAGTCAGGAGGTGAATCACCCAGTGAAGATCCTAAAATAGATAGTTGCAGAGTTAATGTACACATGAGTTCTAATTTTCCTAAAATTGTTGGATTCTGGAGAAATGTCAGAGGATTGGAAAACTGCTAACATGTCACCCATATTCAAAAAGGGAGGCAGACAGAATGTGGGGAACTATAGGCCAATAGGCCTAACATGTTGGAGAAGTATTAAAATCAGTTATTAAGGAAGTAACAGCAGCTTATTTGGAAAACCATAATTTAACCAAGCGGAGTCAGCATGTGACAAGTTACCTCACAAAAAGTTAAGTAATAAGAGTCCTCAGTGTTGAAGGTAGTATATTGGTATGGATAGAGAAATGGCTCACAGGCAGGAAACAGCAAGTGGGGATAAGGTTATTTTCCTCAGGTTGACAACCTGTGACCAGTTAGTTTCCACAGTGATCACTGCTGGGAATTTTTTTTTCCTTTCTTCATTCGTCCATGGGATGAGGCCAGGCAGCATTTATAACCCATCTCTAATTGCCCAGAGAGCAGTTAAGAGTCAACCACATGCAGTGGGTCCAGAGTCACATGTAGGTCAGACCAGGTAAGGATGGCAGTTTCCTTACCTCCAGGATATTAGTGAACCAGATGGGTTTTTCCTGACAATTGGCAATGGATTTATGGCCATCATTAGACCCTTAATTCCAGATATTTATTCAATTTGGATTCCACCTTCTGCCATGGCTGGATTCGAACCTGGGTCTCCGGAGTATTATCTGGGTCTCTGGATTAACAGCCCAGTGATAATACCACTAGGCAATCGCCTCTCCTCCCCTGTAAACTGCAACTGTTAGCAATGTATAAAAATGACTTGGAAGTAGGGAGTAAATATACTGTAGCCAAATTTGCAGATGACACAAAAATAGGTGGAAAGGCGGTTTGTGAAAGGGATACAAACAATTTACAGAGAGATTATGGTAGGTTCAGTAAATGAGCAACAAGTTGGCAAATGGAGCATAATGTGGGAAAATGTGAAGTTGTTCATTTGGAAGGGAGAGACAAAGAACAGGATATTGTTTAAATAGAGAAAAATCAAAGAAATCTGCAACACAAAGGAACTGGGTCATTTGCATAAAACACAAAAAAGCTAACATGCGGGTAATCAAGAAGGCATTTGGAACGTTTGCCCTTATTTCAAGGAGGTTGGAGAATAAGAGTAGGGAAGACTGACTGCAACTGTACAAGGTGTTGGTGAGACCACATCTGGAATGCTGTGAACAGTTTTGGTTCCCTTATTTAAGGAAAGGTATCCATTTCACAAAGATTTACTAGGATGATCCTTGTATGAAGGATTCTCTTAGCACAGGCTAAACAGATCTTGAATTTTTTTTTTGCTTTGATTTATTATTGTCACATGTACTGAGATACAGTGAGAAGTATTGTTTTGCATGGTAACCAGACAGATCATACCTTACATAAGTACATCATGGTAATAGAATTAAATGCAGAACATAGTGTTACAGCTACAGAGAAGGTGCAGTGAAAGATTAACTGTAAAAATGAAAGAACCGTTCATAAGTCTGATAACAGCAGGGAAGAAGCTGTTCTTAAATCTGTTGGTGCGTGTTTTAAAACTTTTGTATCTTTTGCCCGATGGAAGATGGTGGAAGAGATTATAACCAGGGTGGGAGGAGTCTTTGATTATGTTGGCTGGTCTCCTGAGGCAGCAGGAGGTCTAGCCGGAGTCAATGGAAGGAAGGCTGGTTTCTGTAGTGATCTGGGCTATGTTCACAACTCTGTAATTTCTTGACGTCTTGGACAGAGCAGTTACCATTCGAAGCTGAGATGTATCCAGATTGGATGCTTTCTATGATGCATCTATAAAAATTG